TAGAGAGTACTTGTGTTGTTTTCATGCCACAACCCACCTTGTATTGGGAGATGGGTCTGTTACATAATCACTCTCTAGCCAATCAGCGCATTGCTTTTTCTCTCTCGCCTAAGTTCAACCAATGAGGTGCGTTGAATCTCGAAAGGTAACCGCCCCTAAAACAGACGAACAACAAAAATGGAGTCGTGAACTAGTAGCAAGTTAGCTTCAGAAGGACGTTCAATTCCAGTTTTTGTGTAATTACCTTTACATGGGCGCAATTTCCAACTGATTTGAAGTGGCGGGATGCGATCCTATCGAAATCATACTAGTTGATGTTTTGTAGCAACCGTAAGAAGCTGTCGCACGGGTAAACAACCCGGTATCTTGGCTACGACAAAGACAACAAGGCTTAGTGGCTAGCTAGCTGAAGCAGTAGCATCTGCTCGTTTTCACTCTGTGTGCTCGGGAAGGAGGAACGGGACTCGGACAGAAATGGAGAAGGTAGGTTCACAACTATGTTTTTGCTTAATAGTTTAGGTATAGGTGTTTGTTTAAATACTTGGTTGTTATCGTTTTAGTTGGATGTGTTGCTTACGTGGTGGCAGACAGGACGCAGTGTAAATACTCTGTTAGTAGCACGTTAATGTTACTGCCTCGTTAGTTGACTGTAAGGGGCTCAGTTGTTCTCTGCTACCTAGTAATGGCTGTTGTTGTTGGCCTTTCCACCCGGGACTTTCCGTTCAAGACAACTGCAGGCACGGAGGAGTGTTTATGTTCATACTTTGTGTTCACAGGGAGACTTCTTGAAGGGACTACCTGTCTACAACAAAAATAACTTCAGCAGGTTCCATGCAGACTCTGTATGTAAAGCATCAGTAAGTCAACTTATTTCTCGTCAAAATGCTAAGATGTTAAAGCCTGTTGTTACTTCATGGTGTGATTAAAGTCTTAAAATTCAAGACATGTTGTCACATACTAGTACTAGCTTGTTTCCTGGTGTCATTCTAGCCATCTTATAGACTGACATGGATCTTGTTTTATTGTTTTAGAACCGTCGACCATCTGTGTATCTTCCAACCCGGGACTATCCATCAGAGCAAAGTAAGTGTGTTAGATTTTAAAAATGTTTACAGAGCAGCTCACGTTCTCTCACAACTGATGAAATATTGTAGTTCTGAGGAAAATGGCTTACCCCAAACACACAACATTTTTTGCCTAGTATTGGTCACTTCACTTCCTGAATGACAGTATAGTTATCACTCACTGATTTCAACTGCATTCTTTATGTGTCTCATGATATAATCAGTGTCTGCCCTGTCTCTCCTCAGTAATCGTCACAGAGAAGACAAACATCCTACTGCGATATCTTCACCAACAGTGGGACAAAAAGGTAAAGGTTTTTTTAAAGAAAGTTAATGTAATAGAGGAGACAGTTGGTGCTAACGGTACTATCCTCTGTTTTGTGGTACACGGTTTGTTAAATGTGTTTCTTTCTTACCTCATCAGAATGCAGCCAAAAAGCGAGAGCAGGATCAACCAGAGGGGGAGAACACGGCGCCTCCACGGAAAATTGCTAGAACAGACAGTCGGGAGCTGAACGAGGATTCATAAATTGCTGTGCTGTTGATGCACACCCAGCAGAGACTGACCTGTACAAACAATGCATACACAGATGCAGGATACATGTTTGCAAACCCAGGCCATGACACTGAAGCACACAAGGGGCGATACATTTCAGACCACAGTCGCATGACATTAATCCCAAAAAACATTGGTCTTAATGTTTGCAGTTGAGTTCAGATTTCCTCTTTAACCAAAAAAATTTTTTCCCTCAGTTTATTTACTACTTTCTCCCAGTATTTTCTTTACTTCTAAGAGACCTCTGCCTCAGAGTATTTGTAGTTTGAAAATAACATACATCTACCTCCTTATTCCTCAACCCCTCTGGTTTTCTTTTAAATATGCAGGGAGTGAAGTCATTGCTCCTCTGCTGCTATTTAAGGGTTTACAGCTGAAGTTAATCATACCATTACTGAGATATGCACGATTTTAGTTTAGTCTATATAAGTGAGATGTCATCTTTTGTGGCTCCTACTTCATTAGGAATTTTTAGTTTTGAAATATGTAATGACAGTGACCCTTAAAATTTTATTTTAGTTCATCCTTTGTGACTACTGTCATTACAGTAACTGAAAATAAAACTGCACTCTGTTCTTCTTAGGTTTAATTATCCTTTCAGGGTTTGCTATGGACTGTTGTGGAAAAAGTGAGTTCTGAAAGAAATGTTTTCACCCCGATGAATAATGATTTATTGCCTTAAATGGAAGTGAGCGTGTTTTCACTGTGTCTTAGAGTGTTTACATTGTTGAACCACTGTTGAGTTAAATATATATTGGCATGTCTTTTCAGTAAGAACACATTCAAGCCAACAGTCACACTAGAGGATGCAAACTCTTTTTGTACAGTGTGACCTGCAGATTTTGTAGCCAAGTTTGATGCTCAGTAGTTTGAGATCACCACTTTATAAGCAGCGCTTGTATCTCTAATTGCAAGGTTAGCACAATGTTTTATGGAATATAGGTGATTACTGCAGGTATTTAGCTGTACAGATGTGTAGGCTACTCCTAAGGACTGCTATCCATCCTTATTATAAATGTGCCATTCACATTTGCTTAAATAGGTTGATCATTTAAATCATAACGAGGGACGGTGTGTTTGGATCTACAAGCTTTTAGCAGCAGGACTAAATAAACACAGTCTGTTTGCTGCTCATGAAGTCAGTGACGCTCATCATAATGCTCCACAAGTCTTGTATATTTGTACAGTATGTATATTGTGATTTTCTTTACCCTTCTGAACCCACTCTGTCAGGCAACAAGACACTGACTCACTCTTGTTTTTTCTCCCCAAGTCAGCCATAATGTGATTTCATGTTCAGTCAATTAGTTCTCCTGTGTTGGAGGGATATAAGTCAGTTTGGTCAAAACAAAGGAAAGCATTTTATTTTATTAGCACCTTTCGAAACATCACTTTGCGTATCTGTAAAGATCAATCTGCTGCAAATTGTGTTTGCCACATTTTCAATAATGTTTGGCACAAAAGACAGTTGAGTCTATTAATGACATTTGTAACTTTTTGTAACAGATCGCTGTTGAAAGGTTATGGAGTATATGTTCAGCTAGGGTGATTTATGTAAGTCAAAACAAGTAGGATACACACTGACTGTAAGTTCCCTCTGTATGAGTTTAAACCAGAGAAATGCAGTGTTTTAGTTTCCCAACTCTCCATAGAAGAGTGCTAATTCTACTTTTGTCATATGGCTTGTATTACATCGTTGGATTAAGTTTGGAATGTGGTTTTTGTTTCATGCTTTGCTTTGAGTTTACTGTATAAATGTATTGTTGTCAATTTTAGATCTTGTTCTTGTATAGATTACACTATGACATACAGTAAAGGCTGTAACTCATAGTAAACAGCAACACTGAAAAACATCCCCTCCTTCATTAAGTATTTATTTTAGATCCCAATAGTGGAGATGTGTATTGGGCAATAGTAATGACACTGAATTGGAAATTATCTTCTAGCAAAGATATCCTTGATAGAGTATATATGTCCTGTTCTGAATTTAAGTCTTACTACTTTCCTTAAAAATTAAGTTTACATATGTCCTGTTTCCGTACAGTTATATGTATTTACTGTTAACAAAATCAGCCAATGCGTTAACTCTTTATGGATGTTTATTTAAGTGAGATTTATTTGCATTATAGAAGTACATTCACTAATTTATGTAGTAAAATAATTCATAGAAAATCAAAGTTAAGAAAAATAGAATATTTTTTATGGTCACAGTGAATATAATCTGACCTATTGCGGAAGAATAAAATGGCTTTGAAGGTGGTTCACAACTGAAAAGACATGATGGACATGTAATGCATGCACTTTACGCAACATGCATTTAATACAGGCATCAGAATGAGAAACAAATGTGGAATGGGAAGCTGCTGTTTATGTCCTTTGACAAAAGGGCTCATTGATGATCAGGTCCTGAAAATCTGTTCTGGTGCTGTTGAAATCCAGGCAATCATGCAGTATTTGAACCTTAAGTAAAGGTTACTCGAGCCCCATTCAAGGAGTTACACTTACTGTACATATTTTACATGGAAGCTAGATAATCAAGTGTTAATAGATACAGTATAATACTTTGTGCGAAGTAAGTTGCATCTAGAGTGAAAGTTAACGCTCGCTGACCCTACATGTGGTCCTGGTGACTAAGGTGTTCTCTTACAGTGCAGGTGTGTTGCCTGAACATCTGTACATTGCTCTCCATTATTACATTGGTATGGTAGAATATTTATTAACTCTTTGAGCCAGAGTTTTCTAAATCACTCAATTGTCTTGATTCGCCTTTATCTGACTCATTAGAGGGTAATTCTTCCAGGGTTGTATTTAAGTCAGCCCTGTTGGGCTGAGGGTTAGCAGGCTGGGTCGCTGGTTGTGTCCCATTCACACACACCACAGTCCCCTCTGATTTGCTAAAACTGAACAGCTTCCCGGGACTAAATGTCCTGTTGGGGGACTGTGACCTCTCCTGGCCACTAGGGGGTACTGAGGAGGTCACTGTTGACCCTGGCGTTGCTCCCACTGCCACTGCTGGCTCCTTTTTCACCTCAGGTGACTTCAAGAACTTCAGAAATCCCGGGAGCTTTGCCTCCCCTCCTGTGGGGGACTGGGCTGGTGAACGCGAGGTGCCGGACGAGAACTTTCCCTGGAGAGGGATGATCTGCTTCAGCTTCATCACATTGTTGTTTCCCAGCAGAGAGCTGGGTCTCTTGGGCTTGTCCCCTTGCTTGCCCCCTGGTGTTTTGTCGTGGTGGTGCTGGTGCTGGGAGTCCGCTTTGTGGTAGTCGCTGTCCTGACGGGCCTCAGCCTGCAGCTCAGCCTGACGATGAAGCTCCTCCTCTTCACGTCTGCGTCTGAGCTGCTGTTGGAAGTGCTGCTGGGCCTGTTGCTCATGCTTCTAAATGGCCCGCCGTGTTGGAATGAAGACACGGAAGAGGAGAGATAAAGAGTCACAGGAAGAAAGAAAGATGGCAAAAGACACAGTGAAACAATGACAGAGAGGAAGACAGTGGATAAGGAAGAGCATAAATGTGCATAGCAGAGTAAGCAGCACACAGTCATAACAGTGCTAGTTTAGATTAGTGTTTACTGAGAGTAACTGTGTGCCCTCTGTCATTTTGCATTTTTAGTGCTGAAGTAGTTGTCATACTATCCTGCAGTTACTTCACACAAACAAGTGGTTTGGGGATTATTTGCACTAAAAATACTGACTGTTGCTCATTGTGGTGTTTTTCTCTTTTTCTCTTCACAAGAAGACACCATCTAAGACACCATCAAGTGCAGACAAACATTGTGAAACACATACAGTTATGTTGTTGTTAGGCTGCACTAGTGTACATCTTTGGACAATGCACACCAAGAGACCAAGGGACACAAAGGGATATATATATATATATAGAAATATGATAGTGTAGTTGGCAGCAAGCCTTACATTGGCCGAAGGTCTTTCAAGCTATGATAAAACTATACCTTGAAAGCTTCCCTTCGTCGGTACTCTAGCTTGGCCATTTCTTCTGCTACCCAGCCAGGGATATCAGGTATGGCAACATGGATGATGTACTTTAGGAGGATTGCAAAGTGCTGTAAACCACGAGACCACAAAGGGACAGGCTTAACACAATGTTACATCAAGGCACAATCACATTCTGTTTCCTATTCGGAATTTTTCTTCTTCAGACCAAACAGCAAACACATACAAAAACTCTTGTGAGGTTTTGTCTTCATTATTGGATGTGGATTAAAACATTTATTTTGAAGGTTTTACAAAGTCACAACAAAAAATAGCAGGCCATGCACCTTCTTTTCTAATATTCAAAGAGTGTCATCTGGGGAATAAAACGACATTCTCACAGAACAGAGAGCGTACCTCCAGTAAGACAATTGAGATGATGGTCATCTCAGGACTCAACCAGGGGAACAGACGCTGGAGCTGCCCACACTGACCAATCAGGTAACAGTTAACTATAATGGCTATCAAGCCCATGGCCTCCATTGCAGTCTGATGTGGAGAGAAAGAAAGTGAGAGACATTTACAGGCTGGTCTGCTCAGATGCACGACCGTATGAACGAGGTCTCCTGGAAGGCTTTGCTGACATTTTCCAAAACAAAACGCACTGACCTGCCATTGTCCGATGTTCTCCACCCTCTGTCCAAAGGGTCTCTGCAGGCCGGTACAGAGCTTCAGGGCATCGCTACGGATCTCAATGATGTTGTTGATAAGAGCGCACATGGCCGCCAGGGGAAACGCAGAGGAGAAGAGCACCACATAGCCAAACTGAATGAACATTTCCTGGTAGTCCTGAAGCGTGTCCTGTTGGGGTCAAACATCATGAGAAATTGTTAGTATTTTCATGGGCACACTGTTGTGAGATTGGATATAGATGATTTTGTATGGCAGTAGATTGTCCCACCTCATATGTCTGCATACAGCTCTCAATCTCAGCCTGGGTGAGAGTGACAGTTTTGGGTTCTTCTGGTGGATCAATCCATGACTTCTTATCCTCTTTCCCCTCACCTGCATTCTTTCTTCTCTGACAGAGAGAGTCAGATTCCTTTGGAGAGGACACAGGGGCATTCTCCTTGGTCTCCTGCTAATGTAAACATTAGACTACAATACTTTCTCTAGTGGCTTCATCTTAGATACTTAGATCTGTCGGTGTACTACCAGGATGAATGAGTCTCCACAGACATGATCAAACTACATAAAACAAGTTGAACTGTTGCAATTAACTAAACATAATTTGAGGTTTCTGTTTCTTTAAAGGACTAGTGTGTAGGCTTTAGTGGCAGGTCTGTCCGTTCTGGGCTACTGTAATGTGCCGGTTCAACATGGTGGACTACGTGGAAGAGGACCTGCTCCATCTGTAGATAAAATCATCTCATTCTAAGGTAACAAAAATGCAATTC